TGTGTGTGGGTTATGTGTATATTAGTGTCCCCACAATGTGATTTAAAAACCTGTTGTTTTGACCTTGTGGGGACATTTTTTTTTCAGTCCCCACAAGGGGAAACTCAGTTTTGTAAAAATCTGTGAATGCAGTCAGAAAACTCAAAATGCCGAAGTCTTGTGTTTTGTTTGGTTACTCATGGTTAAGGTTAGTGCTGGGTAGGGGTTATGGTTATCATTATTGGGAGCAGGGTTATGCCCATAGAAATTAATGTAGAGTCCCCACAAAGATACAGATACCTGATGTGTGCGCGTGCGCGTGCGTGTGCGTGTGTGTGCTCCTGTGGCCCGAGCCGCTCACTCAGTCCTGCTTCCTGTTGACCGCGAGCAGGGCGTCCATGAACACGTCGGCGGTTTGTGCGTACAAGGTGGAAGACATCAGCCTGGTGTTCTCCAAAGGAAGGTACAAGAAGTCCATCAATGTGGAAAACGCCGACACCAAGTGGGTCCCGTATGGCGGGGAGCTGCCCCAGCCACGCCCCGGAGCGGTGAGTACCACTAAACGGCCGGGTCGGGTCTCAGCTTGGGCTTGAGGGACTTTGTAATGGGTCGGGGTTTTTGCCTGCAGTGCATCGACGACGCGGCGAGGAGCCTGGGTGTGAAGCAGTCGCTGGACATCCCTGACAGCACCCTGCAGTTCCTGAGGGGGCAGCCTCTCATGGACACAGTGGTCCAGCCCCTGAATGGGGGGCCGCAGCTCATCAAGCGGGGGCCTGCCTTCACCCGCATCGCGGTGGACAGTGTCCTAGCGTTGGACCGATACCTCTACTTTGTCATGTTCATCGGGACAGGTAGGCAGTGCTCGACACGGTCACGTGACGCGTGAGGTCTGGTGAGCGTGGTGGTGATTCGTCAGTCGCCCTTCTGCAGAGAACGGGTCCGTCCTGAAGGCAGTCAACTACGGAAGCGACGTGGTCATCGTCGAGGAGCTGCATCTGTTCGGTGACGCCGTGCCCATTGAAGTCCTCCGCCTCTCTAACGCCACGGTAACGCCCGGAATTCGGTAACCACGGGCCCCTTTCTCTCGGTGACATGTCTGTGTGAGAGCTTTGGATCTTTGTGCTCCAGGGTACTCTCTACGCCGGCTCGGCCAGCGGCATCATGCAGGTTCCCCTGAGGGGGTGTAGCCGCTACAAATCGTGTCTGGACTGCGTTCTGGCCCGGGACCCGTACTGCGCGTGGGACACGACAGGGGGTGCCTGCGTGGCTGTGCCGCCGGGGGAACCCTCCCCCGACAGGTAGCGTACTCTGTTCCTCCAGCAAACCGGTGCCACGTTGGCATGAAGGCAGTGAAACGGGGGCCGATCGGCCCATTTCTGATGGAGATCAGCCAACTACGTGTTTCTTTAATTCCACATAATATTTGCATGTCTTTGAACCTCTGACCACACACATTTTTTCACATTTTTGAATTCTGTGTCCTACATAAATATGTACATCTCTACTTAATTAATAGGCAGTATTTAGACTTGCACATCTAGCTGGATTTGAACACATTGCACATTTTGTAAATACCAGTTTACTGACTAATCAGTACTGGGTGGCACTATTTCTCTGACCTTTAAATGTACTTTATTACAAATTATCATTCATATTTAGTGCTGTTTGTGAATGTATACACCAGTACTGGCATGACGAACTCCTAGGGTGTGCAGGTGCCCCTGATCCAGGTTTACTCTGCTGCTAAATCACAAGCTATAATACATTGGGTTCTGGTTATATAGGATGTACACTAAGGTTGCTGCAGGGATGCTAAACAGTTTTTTTTCCTGCCTCTTAGGGAGCTGATTCAGAGAGTGAAAGATGGGAATGCTTCCTTATGTCCGAAAGTCGGTAAGATGTGTAAAAGTGGGGTCTTAAGTAGCATGGGGAACAGGGAGGAGAAAGAGCACATGAGACGTTACCTTGGCAAGAGTACTCTGGCAAAATTACTCCCACAACTGTTAGCATTGCAATATTTTGGGAATTTTCCTGTTAATTCCCATGGAAAGTTTCCAACTTGGAATATTTCCAAAATTCCCCAGCTTAACTTCCCATGGAATGGAAAGTTTCTGGAAATCACCCCCCTTCCTTTGCAGCTCTACTTAGTGCATTTGTGTGTCTGTTTCCCAGAGAGCATTGAGACCCAGAACATGACACTGGATGCGGGGACCAATGTGAAGTTGCCCTGTCAGCAGGGCTCCAATCTGGCTCAGACAGTCTGGCTGCTGGATGGTAAACCTCTGGATGCTCCACACATGGCCCACGTCCACGCCGACGGCCTGCTGGTGTTCGGCAACCCACTGGAGGCAGCGGGCCTGTACGAGTGTCAGTCTGTGGAGCGAGGCTTTGTCACCAAGATGGCCACATACCTGCTGCAGCCGGGGAACACCGACCCGTTGATACCCATGCTGCAGAAGAAGGCCTGCAACACGGTGGTTCTGAAGGTGACCGTGGCGCTTCTTAGTCTGCTCCTGGCCATGCTACTGGTGTGGGACTTCTGCAAGGGACACATCTCCCTGCCGTGGTGCATCAAGTTGCGCCGGAACCCCCAACCACCACCCCTGCACAACCAGGGGTATCACCAAGGGCCGGCCGAAATCAAGCTACTGGCAAACCGCAGTGCCAACAACAACCACTGCGGCCTCCCATTCCCCACAGACGCACACGGCACCCCCAGGTCCAACGGCAGCCCCATGTTCAACCCCCAGTTCATCGCCGACGAGTCTGAGATCTGAGGGGAGCCTGATGAGTCAGTCTGTCCTTTGGGGGGCGGAGCTACATATGGCAGCTGGACTGTGCGACAAAGACGTGGGGGCCTAGTCCACAGGATTCTCAGCAGTTTGGCCCCCCCTGTACTTTGATGAAGACTCCCCGTAGAGGGAGACAACCTTCATCCTGGCACGTAAACACAGCTGCATTTTTTTTCATGTTTCATTCCAGTGTTAATTTTTAAGGCGAATAAACCAGTTTTCGGGTCAGCCAGTGAGGAACCTGGTGAAAGTCGAATCTTCTGCTTCTGCTGTAGCTTTCTGGAGACGCTGGCCAAAGCAAACCCTGCCCAGCATGACTGTCAGGTTCGGAAGCATGGATCAAACCCGCCCCACAACGGGAGAGAAAACGAAACTGAACTGAAGCTGGAAATCAGTTTGCCAGGAGAAACCTGTCCAGAATGTGTATTTTTTTAATTTATTTTTTTTTTATATAACATTTTTCCCCAAAGACTCTTTTTGGTTTCTGATACTGCTATTGTTTTCCAACATTTGTATTGTTTTTTCAAAAAATATTACAGGCTTTTTTTTTTTCGCCTAAAAAAGAAAAAAAAAAAGACGTTTGTTGGTTTCCTGTTTTCGTATGGAGCTGAGACTGCGTTCCTTTGGCAGGAGTTAATAAAAAAAAAAACATTTCTGCATGCCTTAACGCTCGCTGCCTTTCCTGGGCAAGACTATACAGGTGACAAACCCTGCCAGGTCGCCTGTTTACATGCTATTCGAGCGCGATACGTGTTGTCCTGCGTACACACCCCCAGGCTTTGTACAGAGCTGCCATCTTACTGGAAATCGCAAAGCGGGACGCAGCATGCCTGTTCCTGTTACTGCATCAGCCCCTTGGACCTCTCATTGCTCATTATTTAATATCAGCCAGAGCTGCTCTGGCTTCAAACACCGCTGTTGGAGCATGTTTACGTTTTGTGAAATGCTCCATTGCCTTCGCACTGGGAAAGTGGTCTCAGTTTCGCTGGTACTCGCATTGAAGTAGCTTGAAGCTGTATTCATTTCTGTAGGGATGCTGGCTTTTGGCAGTTTTGCTATTGGACTCGAAGGCTGGGACCAATTTCAGTGAGACTGACATGTTTCTTTCCATAAATTTCCATCGACTGAACAGCTGTGGATATTAATTGCACTGTTCTCTCTATCCTCGGTCCTTTATTGATATTTTGATACTTTTATACACTACAACATCAATGTTGCTCTCCTCCCATTCGACCTGTCTTTACCATCAAACTTGTTCAGCCACTGTTTCAGCCCATTTCTTCCACCCTGCTGACACAACAGTTTGGACAAAACAAAAATAAGACCGGTTTTCATTGAATGGACGCCAGTGAATGGATGTTCCTTTAAACTATTGTTCGGTTTTTCATATTCAGTCAGGCTTTCTGAGCTGTGTAAGCTGTCGGAACTATTATCAACCAAGAATGCTTTATGTTAAAATTACTTTTTGTACGTCAATGTACAGACTTTTTTTCTTTTCTTCACGCAGTTTTTGTCTTACAAAGGCAAAACACAGTAACTGCATATTTTATCAAACTTAGGCTATGACCAAATTCAGGTCTCTTAAGGTCTGTTTTACCTAGTGACTAAATATTAGTTCAACTATTCAGTTTTGAAGGAAACGGCATTTAAAATGACAAATCACAGTAAAACCAAGCACCCTTTTCCTTCGTTTCAGTACCATTGTAGTTACTGTATTGGTACATTGGGAGAAGCCCTATTCAAGACAAAATGCTGATTTTTGGATTCAGTCCAGCTGTGGCGTGGGAGGCTGTTTGGTGTTGGTAGCAGTTACTCCTCCGCCTTAACGACAGGATGTAAAAGATCACGCGTTCAGCCACGTTTCCGACAGGCTCAGTCGCTCTGAGATTGGGCTGAAGGCGACTATTGAGAGAAGGAAACAAAGATGGAGGCTCCATTACTGTAAAGCTGGGGCACACACCCCCGTCACCCCACCCACTGACTCATATAGGCCGTTAGGTCCATTTGCTAAAGCTAGCTGCACCCAACCGCAGCACGGTAACTATAAACACCCGTCATGGGTGAAAGTAAGAGTGCAGGGCTTGTAGGATTGCAAGGAGCGCCTTCACGGAAAGAGGCCACTATCATCCAGACTCAAATCCATCTCAAAGCTCCTTCAGTTAATTCTCTCTCACTTTCAGTTCATTTTATTAGTGTTCCCTTTGTTTTCAACCTGGGAAGAGGAGTGCCAAATAACCATCTCTCACGTCTTATCTAGCCCGAGCAAATATACTTATGTTACACATACCAGTTTATGGATGAGGGTTGAGGTGGGGCTGTAATTTTACATATTGAAATGATCAAGTTCCTCGGGGTGTGACTTCATTGTTGCTGCATTTATTTAGGGAATGCTTACACATTTCAAGGAGACAAGCACTGTGTGAAATAAGTGTTTAATTTATAAAACATGTTTTGGTGGGGTGGGTACTCATATAAAAACAGGCCTGTTAGTCTGTACTCCTTGTTTCTGGAACAACTGGTCCCAGGCAAAATGACTTTAATGATCAGCACATCTCTGGGATTTTAAAAATGAACATTACAAAAACAACCATAACGAGTTCTGGGCTAATCGAAATGGGGAGGGTCCCGGGGTGGGCCTATCGGCGGTAGCGGTATCGCTTGAAGTGAAACCACAGCTGGAAGATGCCGTTGGCGAACTGGCAGCGGAAGCCGTGCCGGTGAGAGTACTCCCACTCGCGGTTGACGATCTTGAAGGCGATGTCTTCGTAGGGCGGCCCGGCGTGGAAACGCAGGACGCCAAAGTCCTTGTTGTCGGGACTGGGTTCCAGGAAGTACTGCGGCGTGGAGCGCTTGTCGATCAGGTCCGGGTAGAAAATGTTGAACTTGTAGCCCTGCACGATCTTGGGCGGCGGGTTGTCGAAGTCATAGTGCGTCTGGTTGTACTTGTTCCACTCGAAGCCCGTGTGCACGCGGTTGAAGAAGCGCGGCTTGCGCGGCCGGTACTTGTCGGCCCATAGGTACATCTTGCCGGTGAGCGGCAGCTCCACACTGAACTGGGCCTCGTCGGCACCCATGCCTTCCTTGGCGCGCCGCACGAACGCGTCCTCCGCACTCTCGTTGGCGTCACCTACGGATGCGGACAGACGACGAGGTTAGCTTATGCTGGGAGTGATTCATGAGTGATTCTAGGTGTTCAGTTTGGTCATTCCAGCTTCCTGATTGGACAGGAGGGTGTGGGGCACTGACCTGTGACCTGTAGCTGGCGTCGGGCCAGGTGTAGCCGCTGCATGTCCTCCTCGGGCTCCATTGTGTGGGTGTCCAGGGGCAGCTCTGAGGGCAGCAGCAGCTGGGGGCTGTATCGACCCGAGTCGTATTCCGCCTGGGACTGCTGAATCAGGTCCTCCTCAGTCAGAACGGCCTCCACTTTGCCTTCTCCCTCCGCATCCCCCTGCCCCTCCTCCCCAGCCTCCTCTCCCTCCTTGGTACCCCGGGGAGACGAGGAGGAGGAAGGCCCAGGCTGTTCTGTGTTCCTGTCCTCTGTACTGGTCCTGCGGATGTGACAGGGGAGCATGATGAATTCGCCACAGCGTGATGATGTCACTTGGGTGGGAGGGGCTACACAATGAGCGGATTTCCCACCTTGCTCACACCTCACCGTGATCAAGCGATCAGCTAAAGGGTGCGTTATAGTCACGGCAGAAAACAGACTCTGTTAAAAATGATTTAAAGTATTTTGCCATTTAATCATAAAAGGATTAATAAAGATATTTCCAAGACTGGAAGCCTTTGTGTTTTCCTTCCTTTATAAATTAATTTGTTTTTCTTAATTATTCTGAGCTACTGAATGAGTGATGAGAACAGATTAATTTCAACACAAAATTAACTTGCTCATTGTTATGCCAGTAATTGTGGCGATTTGGCATTTTTCTAGATCACCCAGATGTAGAATAACAAGCCTGGCGAATGAGGCCGGTACCGTGGCCCAGAGGACGTCACACCTCCGGAGCTGTGCACTCACTTCCCGTCTTGCTTAGACACTCACTGACCACTTTATTATGAACATCTACTTATTCAAGAAAATCTCCAAATCAGCCAATCATGTGACAGCAGCACAATGCAACTGGTGCAGATACAGGTCAGGGGCTTTGGTTCATTCTCACATCAAACACCACAATGGGGTAAAAATTAGATCTTGGTGATTTTGACCATGGTATGATTATTGGACCCAGACGGGCTGGTTTGAGTATTTCTAAAACTGCTCATTTCCTGGGATTTTCATGCACCACAGTCTCTAAAGTTCACTCAGAATGGCGTGAAAAACAAAAAACATCCAGTGAGCAGCAGTCCTGCAGACAGAAGCGAACCATATCAAACCGGTTCAAGCTGACAAAGGCCACGGTGACTCTGATAACTACCATGTGCACTGTGGTGTGCAGAAAAGCGTCTCAGAATGCACAGGATGTCTAACTTCGCGGCAAATGGGTTGCGGCAGTGGAAGGTCACGTCAAGTTCTATTCCTGTCAGCCAAAAACCTAAACTGAAAGCTTCAGTGGGCACAGATTCACCAAAACCAGGACAGTTAAAGCCTGGAAAGATGCAGCCTGGTCAGATGGATCTTGATTTCTGCTGAGGCGCACAGATGATATGGTCAGAATTTGGCATCGGCGGCATGAATCCATGGGCCCATCCTGCCTTGTGTCAACAGTCCAGGCTGGTGGTGATTTCTGGTGTTTTCTCTGCACACTCTGGGTCCGTTAATGCCATTGCTCGAATGCGTGCGCTTCGCTTCATGCCCACAAATTACCCATCTTCTAATGGCTACTTCCAGCATGATAATGTATCATGTCACAAAGCAAGTCTCTTTCCAAACTGGTTCCAGGAACATGACAATAAGTTTAGTGTTCTCCAGAGACCTTCCCAGTCACCGGATCCAAGTCCAACAGAACACTTTGGGTTGTGGTAGAACGGGAATGTGCAGGGATGTGCAGCTGACACATACTCCAAAACTGCATGATGCAATCATGTCAGCATGGAGCAGAGTCCCAAAGGGATGTTTCTAGCATCTTATGGAATCAATGCTACGAAGAACTGAGGCTGTCCTGAGAGCAAAGAGAGGCCCTCCCCAGGGAAGCGTGCCTAATGAACTGCTCAGTGAGTGAGGCGTGTGTAGTTTTTACATGCTAATTGAGCACCGGTAAGAGCCTGCAGTCACCACCAACCTCCTCAGATTTCATCCCCGAGAGGCAAGGCTAACAACCTCAACGGACAAACTGACAAAGTCATGCCAGGCTCCCCGGCTATAATAAAGGCTACATTTACAGTGTTAAATACACTCCCCTACTATCATCCTGGCAATCTCAACTGTTAATAACACTAAAAGGGATGAATCTGAGGGTGCACTGCTGTGTTAGTCAGGCCCCAGCCACTGCATGATTAAAATCCAGCTGTTCGCTCTCCTGATGTAGCTAAAAGAGATCCTGACGTTTAGCTGATCGGTTAAATCGGGCAAGCTGATTGGTGGAGCTGGCAGAGGAGGCGGGACTTACACGGGCTGCGGCGTTGGGGGTTCCTCTTTGATGATGGGAAACAGCGGCTCGCTCTCCACCCCCTGCTCCTGCTTCAATTTGTACAGCTTTTGCCTCAGGACATCCTGGTGCCTCTCCCTCAGCCTGAACACCAACGCACGATGTTAAAGGTGACTGGCACACATGTGCATGTAGACAGAGGCCCATAAAAATGCCCACAATGAGGCGAGTGCGCCGATACTGACCGTGCACGGGCCATATAGACGCGGACCTGCTGCAGCAGGCTCTCCCAGTATCCGATGTCCAGGTTGGAGCCTCCTGCCCGGATCTTACTCTCAATGTTGAGGTACAGGGCCTTCAGCTGGCTGTAGGTCTTGCCCTTGAACACGGTCTGCACGTCATTGGTGACGGAGGTGTTGATGCCTTCACGGCGGTCACCTGAATGCACGGTAAACAGCTCGTTAAGTATGAGGAGTTCAGTCAGCAAGGACAGTTTGAGGTCAGCCTTGCTGTGGGCGGAAAGCTTAAAGGTTTGGGGCGGATATAGCAAGCGGTGCCACGTCTACCTCACCTGGCCCTTTCCCCGACGCTTCCAGCTTGCGGAGCTTGCTGATCTCGTCCTCCGTGATGGTCGTCATGTCTCTCCAGAAGTCCACGTTCTTCCCCTGTTCCAGCTCCATGTACACCTGCAGAACACGGGAACGTCACTCGGCAGGCAAACGCGCCCCACAAATTTGTCTGTGACACACTCCTCCATCACTAATTGATTATTACCTGAAAATATATATTTATGCAACCCTGCGATATTCAGGAT